TAAAAAGGACTGATGATGCAGTTTAGTGTGAAGGGATTCAATCCCCAGTATTACACATGAAAAAGAGAAAAAGAAAAAAAGAAAGAGAGAAAGAAAGAAGAGATGGAAAGAACAGAACAGAAAAGAAAAGAGAAAATACAGATCAGATAGCAGGAAGAAGCAAGCAGAAGGGCTCAGGGTCAGGGTGCTGGGTGCTGGGTGCTCGGTGCTGTGGGCAAGGAGTCACTGGTTTCCAGGTGGCTCTGTCTGCACAGGGCCCTGAAGGAAGCCCGGGAGGAGCTGGCTCCCGGGGAAGTTGTGGGGAGGGGACAGCCACACAAGGGCCCTTAGCAGGACGGCAAGGAGGGGCCTGAGGTGCAGCAGGACCAGGCGAGGGCTACGGGACAGGGCGGCCAGAGGAGGGGCAGGCAAGGGGCTTTGGGACAGTGTGGATGGGGTGTCTTTATTAGCTGTGCGCGCCTCTTATCCAACCCGGTTTCCCAAGCCCTGAGGGCAGGGCGCTCCTGACCTGATCCTGAGCTGGGGCCCAGTGCGGAGTGAATGCCTGTCTACACCCTAGCCGGCTGGGGACCCACGCTGTGTGCACATGGGCAAAGGTGCCTGCCCGACTCAGCACGCACCTCCGGCAGGCTTGCTTTGGCCCCGAGTTCTCCCGGCTGCTCCCTCCCGGCCCACACCGCTGAGCTGTTCCCCGCAGGGGCTGGAAAGAGCGTGGGCCGGGACTCTGGATGACCCGGGCTGGCTGTCAGCTCAGCCGCTGCCTGCTGGGTGGCCTTGGCGAGTGGCTTGCTTCCCTCCCTCCGTGTCAGCTTGCTGGTAGGGAAAATGGGGCGATGCAGGGGACCAGGTCTGGGGGGAGCAACGTACGGTGGGAGTAGGGCTGAGAGGTGGCCGTGCCCCTAGGGAAGAGCGATTAATCGGGGCTCCAGGAACCTGGTTTCAGCGGGTGTGACCTGGAGCAAGGCACGTCCCTGCTCTGACCCTTCTTGGTTTCCAGGTGCACACCACACTGCCCTCCGGGGCTGGGGACCGAGAGGGTACTCGGGTGTGTGGGGCCCCACCTGGGAAGGGGATGCTGTGGACAGGTGTCATGGACTGGAGGCGGCGGCAGCTCAAAGTGTCTAGGGCAGACAATGGGCACTGTGTGTGGGGTGAGGGTGGGGCGGGCAGTGTGGCACCCTGGCAGGAATGCGCCCGGCCTGTCTGGGAATGCGAGG